AAAGTGAGTCTCCTGAAAAGAATGGAAGCTGGAATAAAGGTGAAGAGTGACTCACTGACTCACTCAGCTGAGATTAGAGTTAGCTATTGTGTAATTTGCTAAATACGTTTTCTGCTTTTTTTTTCTTGACACTGAAAAATGAATTTCTACTTAATGGTTAAATTGTGAATGTATTTTCTCTACAATATTCTACATTCAGGATGTATTTTTGAATGAAACTAAACTTTTTAATTATAACTGTAGCACAATGTTCTATAAAACCAATATGTTCCTATAGAAACATTTATATACACAGTTGTGTTTAAAGTGTAAATACGTTTACACATCCTCACACAGAGAATGCACTTAAATATGGCATTTTTTGCACATTTTTGTGCATAATTTCTAATCATTGACTGTTTTTACATACATAATATGCCATAACTTTTCCACAGACCACATTCTATGTTTTATTTTTTTCCCAATGCATTGAATTCAGCAAATAAACAGTAATTGTGTATTAAAATGTGCAGAAGTGTGTTCTCTGGAACTTATTTACACTTAGAAGAGAGATCTAAAGAGAAACGTGTTTCTGTCCACCTTTAAAGTCGTAGTTATCTCACTGATAATAATGACCGAGTTCATTTTAGAAGCACCTGAACTGCAGATCATCCCCCTCGTTTCACTGAGGAGGTAATGAGCTCCGAGTTTGTGTGCTGAAATACGCAGGTCAGCGTGTGACCCATGCAGGTGGAAGTTTGATGATTATCACACCTGTTTATAAACATTTGTGCAGACACGTCTGTAACGTGTAGCCCGGTGGAACCCGGCCTGTCTTTATTTATTTATTTATTCCTTTATAGGGCAGTTTTCATAGTGGTGGAGGCTCAGAGTGCTTTACAGACACGATAAAGCCTAACAATAACAGAAGAGACTATGAGTATTCATTTGTAAACACTCACAGTGTTACTGTTTACGGTGTTTACTTTGAATACTTATACTTATTTTTTATATTTATACTTATTATACTTATTTTCTATTATATTTTATGGTTGTTTTAGTATATTTTACTATATATCTGTATTTATGCATCTGTATAATAGTGTAATACTTCTGCTCTTGTTTTGCTTCTTACTGTACTTTGTGCTGCTGTAATGGACGACTTTCCCTCTGGGATTAATAAAGTGATTCATCTATCGATCGATTTATCTATCTATCTATCTATCTATCTATCTATCTAAAATCATATTAGACAATAACAGATTAAAGATAAACCCCAAAGAGCCGTAGAGTTTTACTGAAGCGCTGAGTTAAAAAGCTGCGTTTTCAGATGTTTATTAAAAGTGAGCTCTGAGCTCGACTGTCTAATAAAAGCTGAACTGAGCTCCACAGTTTAGAAGCAGAATAACTGAAAGAGTCTCTCCACGTTTCCTGTGTTTTACTGAAGGAGTTCAGAATCTGCAGATCTGAGATCATAAACAGACCGACGGTCAGGAGCTTTAAGGTCATTTAGAGCTTTAAAAACCAGCAGCAGAGCTTTAAACTCTCTCTAGCAGATCCAGGCGGTCAGGGCAGTGTGTAACGGGGGGATATGAGCTCTCTGCTGTATGAGTTGTTCATAGAGAATATATGAGTTGTTCTGAGAGATGAACGTCTTGTGGAGCTTTTATAACTGTATTGAAGACCTTCACATGAATGCTGTTTGCAATTTCAGTCGTTTGACGTGCTTTATGATCAGATATGGCCAGTTTTATATTGAAATTAAGTTATATTAAGCCAACCTGGTCAAACAGTTCATTTTGTAAGGTCTAGTTTAGTAGTGAAGTACTGATGTTCTTTCATGGTCGACGCTGCAGACAAAAGAACACAGCTGGGCTGCAGGCTCTGTAAGCAATAATAAATAGTTGTAAGCAAAAAAAAAAAGTGTTTTTCTTTAATTTGCTTAGTAATTAGAGTTTATTTTGTCCTCTATTTACAGCACCCGCCTTTCAGATGTGGCATGTGGTTAACATTCACATTCTCAGTTATTATTAAAACGTATTTTTATGCATTTTAGTTTTACCATGTAGAAATTACAACACTTTTTATACGTAGTACCCCCCCCATTTCAGGACCCCATAATGTTTTTGACATAGGGCTTCACTGGTGTTTACTCTGGGGTGTTTAATTGCTTTATTTAAATCTGAGATTTAACCACATCTGAATTGTTTGAGTACAATTGTATTGAATACAAATATAAGCACCTATAACCTGTAATGCTCTGCAATAAAACTGACGTACTGTATACGTCTCAGATTGTGTTCATAACACATGGAGTCTCGGTTGTCCAAGTACTTTGACTGAAAGAAATCTGTTCTGAGTTATTGTGGCCCATAAAAGCTCTGCCTTCAAGACTAAATGATCCGTTACATTCATAAAAACACGACGTCTTTAGAAATCACAGTTGTGCTTCAGACAATAATTGACCCGTTTTTAGAAAGATGAAAAAAAAGGCTTTTATTTACAGCAGTATTGCACAAGTTCAGCACAGCAAGATTTCAGTGCAAAACACAAAACAAAACAGACATAAAAAGAAAAACAAGATTTTTGCTACAAATGTACTGGGTCTGCGAGGTGGAGTCAGATCAGCTTGTGTGCGGATGCTCAGTGCAACAAGACTGAACGCGTCTAAAAATCAAGAGGTCCAGTGAAGCAGAACTCAGCTTGGCCCAAAATTCATCTTCTGTGAAAAACAAATATTTGTTCTGGAATTAATAAACACAAAATATAGTCAGAAAACGGCTGAAGTACTGGGGCTCGAAGCTCTCCCAGTCTTTATGTGTGGGGAGTTTAAAGGGGGATTCAAAATTTCTCCATAATTAAGTGGTTGAGATGTAAACAGAGTCATTCAGAGCGGTTTGGTGTGAAACGCTCTGTTCTAGAGAAACTTACAGAGTCAGAACTGTTCACAGTGGTGGTGATAGGAACCAGACGTCCACCTCTAAAAGCTCCCTCACAGGAAGTTACTACAAGAAATGGTTATGAATTCACTGCCTGATGACTGAGAAGGTTTCAGACTTAAAATCCATTCATGGTGGAGGGACACATCATATGCAAAATAATCCACAAAGAAAACTGATTTCAGATTTATCACTATTTTTCCATCATCAATATTCCATATAAAACACGTATAGGTTCACTGGTGGTTTTGGAGGGAAAATAAAGTGGCAATAAAAGGGTTCTTCTATTGCTACATCGTAACAATAGCAGAACACTTTTTGGTGCTATATATGGAACCATCTACAGCCCCTTCTCCACCAATCTGAAGAACGCTTTCATGATGCAAGGGACCCTTAAATTGTGCAAAGTGTTCTTTGATTGTTCGTGGTTCTACATAGAACTAATTTCTTTACTAAAGAACCCTTGAAGAGCTTTTTTAAAGAACGATAGACCCCTAATTCCTATCACCTCCACTGTAAAGAAATCTGAGCTGATGCATTTCACCTTTAACTTTGATGGACATCTCAAGCGCTGAATTATGCCGAAATTTTGAAATATTGGTGGAATTCCCCTTTCAGTAAATCATGGGTTCAGATAGTTCATAATGCATAGATACTGAACAACAGAGATGACGGAAGCTTCAACTTTTACATACAGTACGTAGAAGGAATAGGTCTTTGGTCTGACTGGTGAACCTGAAACGGTCAAGACGAGCTAAAACGGCCTGTTTCTGATAATTTGGCAAAGTGGGAGAAAACATGACACATAGTTGCACAACGGTCTGTATGACTATCATATAAACAACACCATTTAAGTGCCAAGAACTTAGGTCTGGAAAGTGACCTGAGTCGACCGGGGCGACGGCAATGCGCAGACTGTGTCCGACGCGACAGGAGCCTTTAGCTATGGACAGAAACGAAGCCCATTTTGTTCTAGAAAGATCCACAGGAATGATCCCCTGAGTCACTGAGGCTAATTCTAGTTCCCAAAAATCAAGTTTCTTGACTCTAGAATCAGTCATTAAGACTGTTCTCAGTCAAAAGTCTTCATACCCTCACATGAGGGTCACCTGATTACTCTTAAAGGGCCCACATTCTACATGTTCATCTCCTTTTTCGCCTGAAGTTCATTAATAACATTTGTGTAGTTTTATGTACCAAAAACGGGACGTTTACAGGACCTCTCTTCATCCCTTACAAATAAACAAGACTGATGTATGTCATTGGCTGTCCTGATTTATGCCTCATTCCTTATAAGGTCAGTTTGTGTGGGCGGGGCTAAACTGCTGTAGGTTGCATACAGGTCATTCTACAGAAACGTCCATTTTTGTGTCCCTAGCGTTTACAGATATATTACACTTTAAAAACATGTTAGGGTTACAATTTATTTATATTTTAAAATAAGACAATATTATTTTAACAATTACACCTTCTTGAGCCTCAAATTAGCAATATTGGTTTTTAAATCAATCATATAGAATTCAAAGCACCTCAGAACAGCTCGTCCCCACAGTCGTGAAGTAAAAAAAATGTTTTTCTGCAATTTCAACTACAATAATCTATACATGACTATGAAATATATGATTTAAATGCCATAAAGAAAACAAATGCCAAATAAATATTTTAAAATATATAATGAAAGCTGTGGTCCCCAGGAGTCGTGTCACTGATGTTACTGCATAACAAAAAATCTCTTATTTTGAAATAAAAGTCACACTGATGACATCACTTGACTTCATTTTACCTGTGTTCTGAGGATCTATGAAGAAAAGCTCATGGTGAGTCCACTGTGTCTTTCAGTTATCAGAGATTTTCTCATTTAGCTCATGATTTCATATGAAGCTTTTAGCTGAAGTCACTGGTGTGACCGACTTTATTCTGAGGTCACTGTGAAAAAATAGAATACAAACAGATTAAATTCCATATTTTAGTGGATATTCCATGATTGACAACATGTGGTTTGATGCTCTGTAGCAGTTATTTTGTAAAATGCATTGTTCATTAAAAATGTCTCTGGTGTTCCCTTTATTACGTGTAACACCAATGAGGATCAGTAACAGTGACTCCTATGGAGAGACAGAAAAGTGGACGTTTCTGTAGAATGACCCACATACAGACATATGCAAATGTGATAAGTTTTTGTGACATCACAGAGACAGTGAATTAAAAACGGGCTGGTTTTTGCAGTGGAGACTGAAAGGTACATTTTGCGACATTAACAATATTTACGTATGACCTTAAACTCCAGGGCTGGCCCGAACAGCGTTTTACAAGCTTTTCGTTTGTATTTTAATCCTAATATCCCACTTTTTGCCAGGTGTGCTATAACATTATCTCACACAAGGAGACAGACTGTCTGACTGGACTCAACATAATGAATGAATACTCGATTACTGGAAATATTCAGGCCAGCCCTATTTAAATTTAAAAGTGAGAAAAATCTGGTTTTCTATGTTATGGGCCCTTTAATCTCTGAGTGTTGGTACCTCAAAGTGATGAAATGCCCAAATGCATCAAGATTGATCATGTTTTTCATTTAAAAATATTCTCACGTGAATTAGAGAGGCTAAAATGTCGCTACAGGCCAAATTAAGTTCATCAAAATCATCTCTCGTCCGTCCTCTTGTTTCATTCACTCGCTGCTCCTCATTCATTTTCACTGAGGATAAAAACAGCTGCACCGTGCTTCTTAACCTCCATCAGCATTTAATGACTTTGGCATCAAAGCAGGGGGGCACCAAGCCAAGGCTAACGTTTCTCTGGCGGACGACGTGGTGTGAAAATCACACTCCTGCCAAAGGCTGAATTCTTCCTCTGAATAACGTTTCTGACAAGATGAAAGGTGAAATGAATGAGAGCCTGAAAAAGGCCATCTACGCTTTCTGACCTACCGGCTTCCTTTGCGCTTACAAACTTCCCATCTAGAGAATTCGTCAGGATAATTATTAATCAAATCATTGACCCCCCTGGAGGTCTTCAGGTGAGACATAATTAAAAACAGAAGTGCAAATTTTCAGTGAATCAATGGAGAGATGAAGGGCGAGCAGAACCACAATATAGCTGACTGACTAACATCCACTTCAATATTAATAACAAAAAAACAAAACAACTTAAATACAAAAGTGGTAAATAAATACAAAACATATGTGAGGTTTAAAAACAAAAAAGGAAGATTAAACCTAGTCGAAACAGATTAAAACCCAATAAACCAAACAACAAGTGGACACTGCAGAGAAAGATAAGGGCACGGAGGCGACGAAGGCACGTTTTCCACACCTCTCCGTTTGGGAAAAACTCCAGAGACAGAGACAAGCTGGTCCAGCCTTCCCTATCCAGTGTTTTAATGGCTCAGCTTTCCACATTGACGCAGGAAACATTGCGGATTCCAGGTTTTGTCCCAGAATTCCCACTCAGTCCCAGAGCGTCCAGATCCGTAGCCCTCTCTGGACGGGGAATGTCGAAGTCAGAAGAGGAAACGCAGTCAGTTCCAGAGGTGAAGGAGAAGAAACCCAGAGAGAGCGAGAGTAGAGCGAGTTCTGCTGATGGTTTTGGTACAATATTTACATGGTGCTACATCGGTCTGCTGGGTCCACTGGGTCCCTATCATCTTCTTCTTAGGAGGAGCTGTAATAGCCGTCCGATCACGAGCCCCATCCACAGCATGAAGGCGGGTTCCTCCTCCGCCAGCAGCTGGACTCTGCCCCCATTTCTGCCTGCCTGTGGAGTGAAGAGATAAAAAATCTCAATTTAGTGCTGTTGATAAATAAATATGTAAATGCATAAATACACTGACAATCTATGCAATGCTTTATATATGCAGTGGTTTATATGTAGTGGTGTATATATAGTCGTGTGTATATGTAGTGGTGTATATATAGTTGTGTGCATATTTAGTGGTGTACATATGGTAGTGTGTATATGTAGTGGTATATATATGTAGTGGTGTATATATAGATGTGTATATATGTAGTGGTGTATATGTAATGGTATATATGTAGTGTTGTGTATGTAGTGGTGTATATATAGATGTGTATATATGTAGTGGTGTATATATAGTTGTGTATATATAGTGGTGTATATGTAGTGGTATAGATATGTAGTGTTGTGTATTTTTGTAGTGGTGTATATATAGTTGTGTATATATAGTGGTGTATATGTAGTGATATATATGTAGTGTTGTGTATGTAGTGGTGTATATATAGATGTGTATATATGTAGTGGTGTATATATAGTTGTGTATATATAGTGGTGTATATGTAGTGGTATATATATGTAGTGTTGTGTATGTAGAGGTGTATATGTGTAGTTGTGCACATATGTAGTTGTGTATATATGTAGTGGAGTATATAGATTTGTGTATATATGTAGTGGTATATATATGTAGTCGTGCACATATGCAGTGGTGTATATATGTAGTGGTGTATATGTGTAGTTGTGTATATATGCAGTGGTGCTGCTGTGGCTGTGACTCCACAGCGCTAGTCTTGACGTTCAAATACAGCTTTTAAATAGCAGGTTCTGTTTTGGCCGTCTTGTTAAAACCAAAGTTACCTCAAGCTACTGCCACGATGAACTTGAAGCACCAATTTACAAGCAAAACTCACCACTGAAGCAGACTGAAATACACCGGACACTATATGTAAACCCTATATATGGGTTTCTGTTATTACAGGTAGAAAGCATGAACAGAAACTCCAGACCAGCATGGACAGTAACATGATAAACACCTCTTACACAACACTCTTTCACACAAAAACACACACGCATCATTAATTCGGCCTGCAGTCCATAAACTCCAACGATCATAAATACAACCCAGGTACAACTCAAAGACATTATAACTTTACATCTGTGTCTTTGAGCTCATCTACTTCTGAATTTGTGTAGTCTCAGTAATGAAAATACACATCTGGAGGCAACTTAGGGGCAACCCCCAAATTCCTCTAGCTCCTTTAAAATCAGGAGTTTTTTGGATGACTTTTCTGCTAACTTATGTTACATGCATGTGCTAGCGACAGGCGTACTGTCCGTCAGACAATGTTGACAAGCGCACCAGCGCCCCCTACTGTGAGCTCCACCTTCAGGAGGAGTTGGATTGGTTTAGAAAGTTCACACTGGGTTTGTTCCCACCATAAGAAGTGGACGTTCTCACCCACATTCAGCCTGGAATTCTCATGGTTGGCCCCAGAGCTCCGCTACAACAAATTAGCCAGGCTGAGATCACAAGAGGATGTTTCGGAGTCAACATGGAAGCGGTACGGAATAAAAGCCATTAGCGCTCGCTGCCAGCTTTGTGTCATTCTCTCAGACTGGGCTTTTGGCAGCGTCAGAAGCCAGCGGTACTCCAGCTAATGAAACGGAGTCTCCTTGTTAAAGACAGACTGGCCGCGGAAGACCTGGCAGCAGCCCGGCTGAACCAGGTGGCCTCATTTGGCCTGGTGCTTTTGGCCTAGTTTCGTGCCGAGCGCACAGAGTGACCGCGATAAGAACAGGGCACTTCCCCCTGGGGATTCTTGGCAGGAACCCGCGAGGAAACACACTCCAGAATGAAAAAAGGAAAAGAAAAAAAAACCTTTTCCTGTACAGAATAAAAGAAGGGTGAAAAACATCAGGCTCAGGGGGGCCGCCTTTACCTCACCTCCAGGATAAGAATCTACTGCCTGCAGCTAAGAGGTTGGCTAAAAAAGCCGGTAACAATCAAGGAGATATCATAAAGGGAAAAAAAAGAGAATTAACTCTGGATTAAGGCAGGTGCGAGTGATTGGAGGGAAAAAGACAGGAAACGGAGAGGACGTTGACCCGGAGCATGTGGTCCGAATTAGCCTCTGCGATGCCGTTTGGCTAAAAGAGGGGTTTTAATAAACAAATGCAGAGGGTGAAAAACAAGAGGGAGGTTTGATTCAGTAAAAGCTGAGCCAAAAACCACAACGTGCCCAAGGAGCGATTGTGTGCGCTGCCAGAGGAAACAGGTGAGGAGGAAGTGGAGTAAAAATGAAGGGAGCTTTAACCCTGTAGTGTGGACGGAGGGAGGGGGTGAAGGGGGAGAGCGAGAGCTAGAGAAAGACAGAGAGAGCAAGAGTGAGAAGGCTCATTAGCACCACATGAATGACTGGGTTTGCAGAAGGAGCATTTTAATTCCTAACGTCACTCGGGTAACATTCGATTACTCAGACTGAGTGATTCGGTGCCAAGCCGCATATCACTTTGAGTCAATGACTTTCAAAGCAGATTCACAACCAAGCAAACCAAGATACAGACAGGTTTCTGTCAATGTTTCAAAGAACACCTTCGCCTCACACGCCAACACAAGCTTTGCGTAGCCATTTCTATTTACCTAATGCACCAAATACACCTGTAAGTTGAGGTTTACCCTCAAAACACCAATGATTCAACACCCACAACCAAAAATATCATACTTACACTTCTGTTAAAGACAAAGCTGATACTCGGGCTGCGCAGTACGGACACAAAATGCTTCTGGATATCACGTTGCAGATATGAGAAGCAATAAATTCTGAATAAAACAGTTTGCCTCTAACTGCAGACTCTTTTCAGCAAATACCAATTAGAAAACGCACCATTCATAATACTACTCTGTGAAATAAATATAATGAAACACAGAGAACTGCAAGCACATTTTTGTGCACTGTGAATCAGCATTTCAGCTTTTTCTATAAAAGCCATTATAATGAACACCTTTGTATTGATTTATTTTCTATATTAGCTACAATAGCAAACACAGATATATTTATTTCCTCAAAATCTTCCTTATGGTGATGCACGTTTGTTGTAACAGTAGCCACTACTGCTTCACGCGGGAAGAATCATCACATTTAAAGCATGTTTTCATGCTAGCAGTTCAAGTTTAGTAGAGCGGTTTTAAGTAGCGGTTACACGACTTTACATTTTTTTTAAGTTGACAGTTCTGTAATGAAAGTCGAGTTGACGCTGACTAATTGCTGATGACGTCATGAATGAAACCACAGGAGAAGGGAAAGCTTTGCAACTGACTTTAAAAGCCAAACTCCACAGGTCAGTAAAGCATGAAGTGCCCTTTCCAATGGATCGCATTGTTGGCCTTCAGGAAACCAGAGATACGGACCCCAAATCACCAGGCTCCTCACCTGCTGTCTTCCCTGAGGTGTCCATGTTGTTAGTGTCATAATCATGTGATCAGTGATTCGTCATCAAGCTTAAAGCACAATCGCTGAGCAAAAAAGTCAACACGTCCTCTAGGCAACCCCTATTTATGAACTGTGCACATGTGCATTATGCTGTTAGCTGTATAGCTGAATGGTTAAGTAACTTGCTTTGCAAGTGAGAGTGCAGAGATGCCACACTTCACCAATCTAATTACATCTCTCTGGTGCTGTGCATGTATAATTTGATCAGTTATGTCATTGTAGCACTTACCAATGCTTTTATCATGAAAACTCATCAATAAAAATACAATTTATTTTGCTGCTCTAAGTGATATCACTTTTCCTCCTCATGTATTGTGTACAGATACTAAGCTTATCCCACCAAATCACTCAAAGGGTGCCTATAAATCCTGATATTTACTCCATTCCACTTTTTAGAAACTGTATTTTGATGAAAGCCGTGTTCTGTGATACAATTAAAACATGCTAAGTGTGCATGAATGGCACTTCTGGCACATCTGAATAGTTTCAGAGTTATGAAAAGTCGCTGTGCTCTTTGGCATGGTTTTTTTTATATGCTTTATTAAAGCTGATGTATTAAGATCCTTGCTGGTTGCATCCCCCCCTCAAAATATTGGCATTTCGCAATGAGCGAAAACAATGCAACACTAGTAATGAGCACTTTGCATCATGCATAACGAGCAGAACTGGCATCAGCTAGCTTTTGTTTCTTATCCATGTTTGCGTTTTGTATATTGCACCATGCATCTCTCAAACACTTTACAGGAGAAGGAAAAAAGTTCTTAACTTTGGAAGTTAATGGAAAAAAGATTTTCCTGGAATTAGTTTTGAAGCTCCATTCATCATGAGATTTTAGTACTTTGTAAAGGGCAGCTGGCACTTTCAAATTCTGGAAGAATAAATAAATAAATAAATAAAAAAACAGCAAAAACAGAGTTTTGTTCCATGCACTCTTTGACCTGTTGGAAAGCCATGACTAAGAGCATTCTGAGGTCTAAACAGTTATGTCTGAATGTCTAAACAGTTAATGCTCATCTCTAGAAGCAGCAAACAAATCCAAAACAGCGCCAAATGACGGGGGAGGGTGAGGGGGTGGGGAACGTCCCTTTAATCAAGCTCAATTAGCTTATGCACCACTGTGGAGAGAACACAGTGAAAAACTGCAGCTACAGGACTTTGTTTTCCGTCGCTGTACTTGCGTCTATCTGCACACATCTTCACCATATGGGATCAATTCATCTGCATGGTTCTTAAAAACAAGTGGACGGTAATAAAAACACCCTTGCTGTTCTGTAGAGAGAGAGAGAGAGAGAGAGAGAGAGAGAGAGAGAGAGAAAGGTGAGTAAGAAAACTGTGGCCTGATGGTATCAGACTCACTCTTAGTCATTACTCGGGGACAATGGGAGCTGGTGTGACAGAGCAACGGGCGAGAGCTGCGCGAGAGCACATGCAAGAAAAACAGAGAAGCCACAAGCGAAGAAAGCCAGAGCTCTGCAAAACAATCCTCTCAGACTGGGCTAACCGCCACAGCGCGGACGAGACGATGTGCACTTT